GGAGTTCCTTCTCGAGGAGGGCAATGGTGAGCTCGGTGGGGGTGCGAGCTTGGAAGTGGTCCCTGACTGAGCGCAGAGTGTCAGGGAGGCGCGTGACTAGGTGGTAGAGAGTGAGCCAGAGCGGGGGTGGGTTCTTGGCAAGAAACTCATCAAGCATAGCGGCGCGGAAGCGAGCCTCACTAGTGCGGAGGTGAGTAATGAGATCAGCGATAGTGTGGAAGGAAGCTAAGTCGGGGAACAGGTAGGGAAGAGAGAGACGGCCTAGAGCGGCAGAGGCCGGTGAGGAGTAGCCGACAACGACAGCTGTGTACAGTGCCTGCGCAGTCTTGTGCTGCCCAAAGTGCTCGCGCTCATCTATCGGCAGAGAGTTGCGAATAGCGAAGCGAGCATGGGCATCACGAGTCTGCCACTGTGAGCGAGCAGTGCTGTCAGCAGTAGCAGCAGGAGCAGTAGCGTGGCCTAAGGCGTGATCGTACAGCGAGATGTCTTCTTTGGCAGTGAGCTGTAGGAAGAGGTGTAGGTCATCAAGCCAGGTGTCGAACTTCACCGGGCGACACTCAGCGTCGAAGGCTAGCACAGGGGGGCTAGCCATGGTAGCAGCAGTAGGTAGAACAGTAGGAGCAGTAGGGTAGGTAGGGCGGCGCGGCTCGGTACTAGTATGGCGGCGCGGCTCAGTATAGGTAGGGCGGTGCGGCTCGGGTCGGGCGGCGCGGCTCGGTTCGGGCGGCTCGGTTCGGGCGGCTCGGTTCGGGCTGGTGGCTCGGTTCGGGCGGCTCGTGCTGGATGGGGCCGTTCGAGGCCGCTAAGGGCGAGCGCGGGGAGCGGGTGGGGTAAGTGCGGGGCCGACGCGAGCCTCTAGGGGTAGGGACGGGGCCGACGCGGGCCTCTAGGGGTAGGGACGGGGCCGACGCGGGCCTCTAGGGGTAGGGACGGGGCCGACGCGGGCCTCTAGGGGTAGGGACGGGGCCGACGCGGGCCTCTAGGGGTAGGGACGGGGCCGACGCGGGCCTCTAGGGGTAAGCGCGGGGCCGTCGCGGGCCTCTAGGGGTAGGCTCGGGGCCGATGCGGGCCTCTAGGGGTAGGCGCGGGGCCGTCGCGGGCCTCTAGGGGTAGGCTCGGGGCCGACGCGGGCCTCTAGGGGTAAGCGCGGGGCCGACGCGGGCCTGGAAGGGACGAGCTCGGGGCGGGCGCGGGCCTCTAGGGTTAGGCGCGGGGCTGATTCGGGGCCTCTAGGTGCGAGAGCACGGGGCCTACAGGGCCTCTAGGGGCGTGAACGCCGAGGCGCCCTAGGGCTTAGGTAGGTAGGTAGGCAGGTAGGCAGGTAGGTAGTGGTGGGCCCTAAGAAAAACGGTCCTAGGAAGGACCTGCTCTATACCATGTTGAACAAGAATGAATGAACTAACAGTGAAATGAGTACAAGTATGAAAACCTAGAAATGTGTACCCCCTATAGGCTAACCCACTGTAGCCTAAACAACTACAACAACATATATAATGTTTGACAGGTCAACGCCGCTGTGTAGCTAGGGGGATACTTCCTGTAGTAGCGAACAAACGCCACATGATCGGCATAGTGTTGCTCGGATGTGACCCGTTTCTCTGTGGTTGGGTTCACCCTTGTCGTGTTGACTGTACGATGCAGCGTAAAAATCATGAGCAGCTTAGCAGGCCATACCATTTTCTCCCCGTCATCATCCACGCCGTCAACTGAGACGTCTGAGAACCATGGAGCTCTGTAGTAGCTCGGGGTTGCACGCGCGTACGACGGATATTTGCTGCACCGTGTGAAATCGTCATCTGGAGGAATCGCCACACCCTTGTGCACATCAATACCAACTTCCCATTTAATTGTTGCACGCGGTGGGTGCTTCTGTTGGCGCTGGAATGCCTTGATTGCGTCTTCAAGGCAATCAAAAACCCCTGGAGCAGCGGCGGCGTAAGACCGCCAGAAGGTGCTGAGCTTATCCGTGTAGTCCAGCTTCGCGCAAGACCCGGTGACTGCAGGAGATCCGGTCTCCAATGCCTGTGCAAAGATAAGGGTGCAAAGAATTGTGGTATACATTAGTGTATTATTTAACGATTTCATAGTCTGAACATCACCCTTGAACACCCCCACATTTATCGTGCACACGCCCGGATTTACTGTTCGCGCTGACGAGGGCACGGGGTATAGTTTGTCAATCTAGGCAGGTGTCGTTTCCGAAAAAAAACAACATCGCGCAATTTTAAACGGAGCATGTCTACGTACATCAGCGCAAACGCCAAAACGCAGAAGGCACACGATCGTGCACTTTTGTCGGTGGAGTAGATTGTTCCAACGCTGTTGGATGTCTTTTTCGTATCATCGAGACAGCGTCACAGTGTTCGGGCGAGTCCAATCTCGACTCGTTGGTGTGGCACCGTCAACGTGTTTGCAAAATCGTGCACCCGAAAAGTGCACGATGACAAAGTAGAACTACAGTACTCGTGAACATACACGTGTAATTAGGGAAACGACACGACCAATTTGACAACGTGCCATTCCAAACCCAACGTAAATACAAAACGGGCTGAGCGAACCAAATGAAGGCACGCGATGAGATTTAACGCAACAAGAATTCACACACGTGTCAAGCCGACGGGAAACATCTCGAACACACACTGCGACGCATCCCAAAAAATTATCCTCAATCCCAAGTGGGAAACAAAAATAGGTTACAAACACAATTATGTCATAACATTATAGCTTACTTACTTGTGTAGGCTATAGTGGGGTATCCCATAGGGGGTACAACACAATTAGGGTTTCCTATTTGTACTCACTTCGTTCATAGTCATTTCATCCTCGTTCACTTCTTCTCATGGTATCGAGCAGGTTCCCCTGTGGGAACTGTGCTTAAGGCCCACCACCACTACCTCCAACTTTTTTTTTCTGCCCGGAGCGCGCTCCGGGCTCTCTCTCTTCCTTCTCTTGACCGGCCCTTTGCCGCCAGCGCGCCGCCCTAGCCCCCAGCGCGCCGCCCGCCCTAGAGCCGGAGCGCCGCCATTAGCAGCCCGCGAGCCGCCCTTAGCAGCCCGCGCGCCGCCCTAGCGCCCGCGCTCCGCTCGCCGCCCTAGCGCCCTAGCGCCCGCGCGCTGCCCTGCGCAGCCCGCGCGCAGCTCGCGTGAGCCGCCCGTGCGCCACCCAGAGCCGCCCGTCAGCCACCCTCAGCCGCCCGACGCGCCGCCCGTGCGCCGCCCTCGGCTGCCCGTGAGCTGCACGTGCGCTGCACGCGCGCCACCCGTCAACCGCCCGTCAGCCGCCCGTGGCTGCTCGACGCGCCGCCCGTGCAGCCGCCCGTGAGCTGCCCGTGCACCGCTCGTCAGCCGCCCTCAGCCGCCCGACGCGCCGCCCGTGCGCCGCCCTCAGCCGCCCGTGAGCCGCCCGTGCAGCCGCCCTCAGCCGCCCGTGAGTCGCCCGTGCAGCCGCCCGTACAGCCGCCCGTGCAGCCGCCCGTGCAGCCGCCCGTGCAGCCGCCCGTGCAGCCGCCCGTGCAGCCGCCCGACGTGCCGCCCGTACAAAAGGCTAAGCAAGCAAGAGCAGGAGTATATATATGTGACAGTACAAGCAAGGTCAAGAAGTGAGCAAGTGAGGCAAGACAGGCACAAGACCCAACTGAGTGCATAAACGCTGATGATCACAAGGCGCAAGTGCCTTAGTGAAGACATCAGCAGTGTTGGCCTCAGAGGCCACGTACGCAAGCCGCAACTGTCCACGCTGCTGCAGCTCACGCGCAAGAAAGTAGCGGAGAGCAATGTGCTTTGTCCTGTGCTCCAGTCGCTGCTCTCGACACAAGGCCAGCATGGCATTGTTGTCTACGTACAAGACTGGAGGAGAACGAGGCGGCTCTCCAAGGTCGGTCAGCAGGTAGGTGAGCCAGCGAAGCTCCTGGGCAGCCATAGCCCCGCGTAGATCTCAGCCTCACAACTGGAGCCGAAAACAGAAGACGAGCGGGTAGCCCGCCACGAAACAGAGCCGGAACCAAGACTGAAAGTGTAACCCTGTGACGACCGCTGCGTAGCCTGGTCGTCAGCCCAAGAAGCGTCTGCGTGCCCAGTGAGGACCACTGGACTGCGCCCTCCAAGCACTAGCCCCATGCCCGACATACTGCACAAGTAGCGCAACACCCTCTTCGCTGCAGCCATGTGCTCTGGTCGGTGTCTCCCAGGAGCAACATAGCGTGCAAGAATGCTAAGAGGGTATGCAAGGTCAGGTCGTGTGCAGGTCATCAGGTACATGAGGCAGCCGACAAGCTCTGCATACGGGCCACTCGACTCTACGGACTCATCCGAAGGCAGAGCTGAGAGTGAGTGGCGAGTAGGCAGAGGAGTGGCCTGAGGCGAGGAGTACGTGAAGCCGAAGCGCTGAAGGACCTGCTGCACCATGTGTGACTGAGTCAGGGTGATGGTGCGGCGTGCTCTGTCCCGGGTGATCTGCAAGCCAAGGTAGCTGCGCAGCTCACCCAAGTCAGTACACGTGTGTCTCTTCTGCAGCTCGGACTTCACGTAGGCGAGTCCAGCAGTGTCAGCAGTGGCAAAGACCAAGTCGTCGACGTACACGAGGATGTAGAACGGCGGCAGAGAAGTGTCGGTGCGCAGAAACAGCGACGGGTCTACAGTAGAAGGAGCAAACCCAAGTGCCGCCAGCGTAGTCCTCAGTGTGTCGTGCCACTCACGTGGCGCCTGGCGGAGACCGTAGACTGGACGCCGGAGACTCCACTGGGTACCAGGAGGGAAAGACCCAGTGAAGCCAGGAGGGCGGCGCAGCCAGATCTCCTCGTGCAGGCTGCCCTGCAAGAAAGCAGTGCTGAAGTCGAGAGAGTGCAGCTCGTAGTCACGGTGAGCAACGACGTGCAGTAGTACCCGAAGAGTGGTCATCTTCGGGGTCGGGGAGAAGGTCTGAAAGAAGTCAACTCCCTGCCGCTGACTGAAACCACGAGCCACGTAACGCGCCTTGAAGACAGGCAGAGAACCCGGCGGCCGCTACACCCTGAAGATCCGGGTCTCCCTCAGGGGTGAGCAGTACGGACACGAGATGAGGTGAAGCGGCTGCCAGGCACTCGAACTCCTTCTGCCTGTCCTCAAGGACGTCCGTGCCAACGGCACACTCACCCCCGACGGACGGAGGACAGGCGGACTCAGACTCAGCGACAAGACTAGCAGCGTAGTCTAGACGACAGCGAGCAGCAAAGTCGACGAGCTCAGTGACAAGGGCAGACGCGGCAGTGGACTCGAAAGAAGGGTCAGTGACGGCAGTAGCAAGGAGACGCGTGACAGTAGGACTGGCAGCACGAAGAGAGTCCGACGCAGGGTCGGCGACAGCAGGGAGAGAGGACGCAGGAGGAGAAGGCAAAGGGGCACGCAGAGGAGCACTGGTCGGATGCACGGACATTCGGTGCGTGCCAGGGACAGGAGGAGGACGCTGACGCGAACCGCGACCACTAGCGCGCGCAAGACGAACAGGCAACGCAGGACGAGACGCAGGCTCACGACGCTCAGTAAGACCTCCAGTAGGACCAGCGTAGGGAGACGGAGCAGGCAAAGGGAAGGCAGGCTGTAGCTGTGACTGTGATTTGACAGGCTGTGGACCCGCTAAGGAAGGAAGAGGAGGAGGACCAGGAGAGGGTGTAAGACCAAGAACCTGCTGCAGGAGCAGAACGAAATACGGTCGGGGCCGCGTGGCGACGCCAGAAACAGCAGGGACAGGACCACTACCCCCAGCAGGAGCACCCGCTCCAGCAGCACCTCCAGCAGCACCTCCAGCAGCACCTCCAGCAGCTCCAGAACCCCCAGCAGCACCTCCAGCAGCCTCAGAACCTCCAGCAGCACCAGAAGCACGGCTCCAGCGCCGGGCAAACCACTCGCGCAGCTCCTGTGGAGAGAGTGGCTCCCGGCGAGACGAAGTACCGAGAGAGCCCCCAGGCTCAGCACCCCCAGGCTCAGCACTCCCAGGCGCAGCACCCCCAGGCTCCGCACCCCCAGGCTCAGCGCCCCCAGGCTCAGCACCCTCAGGCTCCGCACCCCCAGGCTCAGCACCCCCAGGCTCAGCACCCCCAGACGTAGCACCCCCAGGCTCAGCACCCCCAGACGTAGCACCCCCAGGCTCAGCACCCCCAGGCTCAGCACCCCCAGACGTAGCACCCCCAGGCTCAGCACCTCCAGCAGCACCAGAGTCACCAGTGACCTCAACAGGCTCAACTGCGTCTACCTGGGACACACCTGACGGGGCAGGACCCTGAGGGGGAAGGGGGTCTACCGGGGGGGGACCTGGGACAAGAAAGAGTGGGGGCGGTGGGAGGGACGGAGTGCGGTAGGGGAAGAGGCGGTAGTAGGGTAACGACTCGTCGAACGTGACGTCCTGGGAGGACAGAACACGGCGAGAGGTGGGGTGGTAGAACTGCCACCCAGGGGCGTCGGGGGGGAACCCCAGGAAGACGCAGGGAGCAGCGCGAGGGGACAGCTTGTCCGCAGACAAGTCGCGAACAAACGCCCGAGATCCCCTGACCCGGAACGCCGACGCATCGCCAACCTTCCTCGTCCACAGCAGGGCTGGGGAGGTCTCCGGCCTGGAGACCCTGGGGTGGAGGTTGATCTGATGCGCCGCGTACCTGACCGCAAACGGCCACAGAAAATGGGGAGCTGCCGCATGCATCATAGACGTACGAGCGACGTCCATGACCATGCCAATGCGGCGCTCTGCAATCCCATTTTGCTGCGGTGAGTCCGGAAGCGTGAAGGTCTGACGGATGCCTCGCGCACGACAGTAGGCACGCAGAAGGCCGGAGGAGAACTCTCCGCCTCTGTCCGAGTGCAGACGCAAAACAGGAAAGTCCGAGCCAAAGCGCTGCCTGAGCTGGAGACGAGCTGCGCGGATCCAGTCGATCAGCACCTCAGTGACATCACCCTTGCTGCGCAAGGGGAAGACTGTGGTGTAACGCGAGTAGTCGTCAACAACGAGCAGGAAGTAGCGCTGCTGACCCTGTCCACGGACGCGGGCTGGGCCCCACACGTCCATGTGAAGCGTCAGCAACGGGGCCTCTGTCGGGGGAAACTGGGAGGAGTGAGGGGCAGCACGCTGGCGCCCCTCGACACAGGGGACACAGGCAGGGCTAGGGCCCTGAGGAAGGGGAGGGAGGGACCGGGGGAGACCTGACACAAGAAGACGGGAGGCCATGCCTCTGAGCCGAAGCAGAGAGGGGTGGCCAAGGCGGTGGTGCCAGAGGAGGGTCTCGTGAGACAGACGGCGACACGAACAGGGGGCAGACTCAGGACCAGACCTGGACGCTGCAGCAAACACCTGACTAGACGAAGGGATCCGACGAGAGTCAGCACCTGGAGGAGAAGCAGTGGTCAGTGTGTACAGGCTCGACCTTGGCTGACGTGTAAACGTAGCCAGGTGGCGACCTGTGCTAGCCTCTGTGCAGTGGGTCACCCGCTGACGAGCAGGAGTGAACTGGTGGACACCCGCATCCTGTAGGTCAGCACCACTCACCAGGTTCGTAGAGAACGAGGGGAGGTAGAGACCAGACAGGGTGCCAGAGGGGGCCGCCGGACACGGGAGGACTGTGGAGAAGCGAGACAGGACAGGACCCCTAGAGGGGTCAGCCAGGGACACCGCAACCGGCCGACTAAGCGGCGTGAGAGTGGTGCGGTCCCTAAAGAAGGAGCGAGAGGCCCCAGAGTCCAGGGTGAAGGTGTGAGAGGCCGAAGCCGACACAGTACCTGAGAGAGCAGACTCACCAGTACCTGAGAGTACAGACGCACTGGCACCTAGAGCAGCAGCCTCACTGGCACCTAGAGCAGCAGCCTCACTAGCACCTAGAGCAGCAGTACCAATGCCCGGGTCGGGCGGGAAACACCGGTAACAGTCACCCTCATCACTAACAGTCACAGCATACATGGCAGCAAGGATAGCATCAAAGTCAAGATCAAAAATAGCTACACTAGCCCTAGACAGCTCTCCCCAGCGGGGGATCTCAGAGACCTCCGGAAACTGCTGGCGCCAGGCGTCTGTCAGGCGGCCAAAGCAGCGGCGGGCGGTGTGGGTGCCCCCACACTGCTCACCCGCGCGGTCGCCGGTGCGGAGAACGTAGGTGCAGGGACCAAACGCCCCACCACGCTGACGCTGCGAGTACCACTCACGGAGCTGCTGAGGGGCGGGGACGTCGCGAGAGCGCTGCTGCTGCTGCGGCTGCTGCTGCTGCTGCTGCTGCTGCTGCTGGCGCTGACCACCCCCAGTGCTGCTCCGCTGGGACGAGCCACTCCGACCAACTCCACCACCTCCGCCCCCGCCTCCGCCGGCACCGCCGCCACCGCCACCCTCGCCCCCGCCGCTCCCACCGCCACCTCCGCCACCACCTCCGCCACCACCTCCGCCTCCACTGCCGCCACTAGTACCTCCACTCCCGCCACCACCTCCACCGCCACCCCCACTCCCCCCGCCGCCCCCACCTCCTCCGCCACCGCCCCCGCTAGCTCCACCCGCTCCCTTGCCCCCCTTGCCCCTGCCAGAGCGGCGTCTACCGCTGGGGGCAGACGCCGCACCGACCGACTCCAAACCAACGAGGTCGGCCGCAGCAGCAGAGGCGACAGAGGGCAGCAGAGGGGAAGGAGAACACCCCTCAAAGATGGGGGTGCGAGGGTCACCACGAGAGGCCCCTACAGCGACGATACTCTTCTCGGCCGCTAGCAGGGACTTCTCAAGGAGGTCGACAGTGAGGGTGGTGGGACAGACAGAGAGAAACTGGTCCCTAACGACACGAAGGGACTCAGGGAGACGGGTGACTAGGAAGTAGAGAGTGATGTACATGGGAGGAGGGTTTGCGGCGCAGAAGTCAGCAGGAAGCGCAGCGCGGTAGCGAGTGTCACTAGCGCGGAGGTGGGTAAAGAGGTCAGCGACTGTGGGAAAGGCAGCGAGGTCAGGGAAGAGGTACGGTAGCATGAGGCGGCTCAGCTTAGCGGAGGAAGGGGAGGAGTAGCGCGCAACTACAGCGTCGTACAAGGCCTGAGCGGTCTTGCACTGACTAAAGTGTGCACGCTCGGAGGAAGGGAGGTGCCGACGCACAGCAAGACGTGCAGCAGCATCGCGTGTGGCCCACTTGGAGCAAACAGCGGGGTCAGCATCAGCAGGAGGGGCAGGGACAGCGCCAGAGACAAAGTCAAAGAGAGAAACCTCATCTATCGCATCGCACAGTAAGTACAGCTGCAGGTCCTCAACCCAGACTGCAAAGTCAATGGCGCGACCCTCAGCGTCAAAAGCCAGGACACTGGGGGTGGCCATTATAGCAGCTGACAGTCTCACCGGGCAGGAAGAGTCGGGTAGCTCAGCGGCACAGCAACACGGCAGCACAGCAGCTGCGCCGGCCCAGGAGGAGCAGCAGCACCATAGGAGCAGGAGCTCGGCTCCTCGGACGGCTCAGGCGGCTCGGGCGGCTCGGGCGGCTCGGGCGGCTCGGGCGGCTCGGGCGGCTCGGTTGACGCGGGGGGGGCTCACGGGCGGCGCGGGCGGCTGCACGGGCGGCTCACGGGCGGCTCGGGCGGCTCACGGGCTGCACGGTGGGCGGCTGCACGGGCGGCTGTACGGGCGGCTGCACGGGCGGTTGCACGGGCGGTTGCACGGGCGGCGCACGGGCGGCTGCACGGGTGGCGCGTCGGGCTGCAGCACGGGCGGCGGGGCCGCAGTAAGAGAGGCGGCGGGGCCGCAATGGGGGCCGTAGCGGGGCCGCAGCGGGGCCTAAGCGGGGCCGAAGCGGGGCCGTAGCGGGGCCGACGAGGGGCTGTAGCGGGGCCGTAGCGGGGTCGGCGGGGCCTAGGCGGGGCCGACGGGGCCGACGGGGCCGTAGCGGGGCCGTAGCGGGGCCATAGTGGGGCCTAGGCGGGGCCGACGAGGCCTAAGCGGGGCCGTAGCGGGGCCTAGGCGGGGCCGTCGGGGCCGTAGTGGGGCCTAGGCGGGGCCGACGGGGCCTAAGCGAGGCCGTAGCGGGGCCGAGGCGGGGCCGACGGGGCCGTAGCGAGGCCGTAGCGGGGCCGTAGCGGGGCCTAAGCGGGGCCGACGGGGCCTAAGCGGGGCCGACGGGGCCGTAGCGAAGCCGACGCGGGGCCGTGGCGGGGCCTTAGTGGGGCCGACCGGGCCTAAGCGGGGCCGTAGCAAGGCCTAAGAGGGGCCGTAGTGGGGCCGACGGGGTAAAGCGGGGCCGCGACCAAAGGGCGGCGGGGCCGCAACTAAAGGGCGACGGGATCGCGTAGGTAAGGGCGACACGAAGGGTCGCTAAAAAAAAAACGCGCGCCTCGGGGCGCGCTTCGGTGGGCCCTATGAACAGTCCCTAGGAGGGGACCTGCTCTGATTCCATGAGAAGAATTGAACGAGAATGAAATGACTATGAATGAAGTGAGTACAAATAGGAAACCCTAGTTGGGTTGTACCCCCTATGGGATACCCCACTATAGCCTACACAAGCAAGTAAGCTATAATGTTCTGACAGGGGGGAGTGGGGGTGGCGGTGGAGGTGGTGGCGGGGGTGGAGGTACTAGTGGCGGCAGTGGAGGCGGAGGTGGCGGCGGAGGTGGCGGTGGGAGCGGCGGGGGCGAGGGTGGCGGTGGCGGCGGTGGCGGCGGAGGCGGGGGTGGCGGTGGTGGAGGTGGTCGGAGTGGCTCGTCCCAGCGGAGCAGCACTGGGGGTGGTCAGCGCCAGCAGCAACAGCAGCAGCAGCAGCGCTCTCGCGACGTCCCCGCCCCTCAGCAGCTCCGTGAGTGGTACTCGCAGCGTCAGCGTGGTGGGGCGTTCGGTCCCTGCACCTACGTCCTTCGCACCGGCGACCGCGCGAGTGAGCAGTGTGGGGGCACCCACACCGCCCGGCGCTGCTTTGGCCGCCTGACCGACGCTTGGCGCCAGCAGTTTCCGGAGGCCTCTGAGATCCCCCGGTGGGGAGAGCTGTCTAGGGCTGGTGTAGCTATCTTTGATCTTGACTTTGATGCTATCCTTGCTGCCATGTATGCTGTGACTGTTAGTGATGAGGGTGACTGTTACCGGTGTTTCCCGCCCGACCCGGGCATTGGTACTACTGCGCTAGGTGCCAGTGAGGCTGCTGCTCTAGGTGCCAGTGCGTCTGTGCTCTCAGGTACTGGTGAGTCTCCCCTCTCAGGTACTAGTGAGTCTGCACTCTCAGGTACTGTGTCGGCTTCGGCCTCTCACACCTTCACCCTTGACTCTGGGGCGTCTCGCTCCTTCTTTCGAGACCGCACCACTCTCACGCCGCTTAGTCGGCCGGTTGCGGTGTCCCTGGCTGACCCCTCTGGGGGTCCTGTCCTGTCTCGTTTCTCCACAGTCCTCCCGTGTCCGGAGGCTCCCTCTGGCACCCTGTCTGGTCTCTACCTCCCCTCGTTCTCTACGAATCTGGTGAGTGGTGCTGACCTACAGGATGCGGGTGTCCACCAGTTCACTCCTGCTCTTCAGCGGGTGACACACTGCACAGAGGCTCGCACAGGTCGCCACCTGGCTACGTTTACACGTCAGCCAGGGTCGAGCCTGTACACATTGACAACTGCTTCTCCAGGTGCTGAGTCTGGTAGAGTCCCTTCGTCTGGACAGGTGTTTGCTGCGGCGTCCAGGTCTGGTCCTGAGTCTGCCCCCTGTTCGTGTCGCCGTCTGTCTCACGAGACCCTCCTCTGGCACCACCGCCTTGGCCACCCCTCTCTGCTTCGGCTCAGAGGTATGGCCTCCCGTCTTCTTGTGTCTGGTCTCCCCCGGTCCCTCCCTCCCCTTCCTCAGGGCCCTGGCCCTGCCTGTGTTCCCTGTGTCGAGGGGCGCCAGCGTGCTGCCCCTCACTCCTCCCAGTTTCCTCCGACAGAGGCCCCGCTACTCGCGTTACACCACAGTCTTCCCCTTGCGCAGCAAGGGTGATGTCACTGAGGTGCTGATCAACTGGATCCGCGCAGCTCGTCTCCAGCTCAGGCAGAGCTTTGGCTCGGACCTTCCTGTTTTACGTCTGCACTTGGACAGAGGCGGAGAGTTCTCCTCCGGCCTTCTGCGTGCCTACTGTCGTGCGCGAGGCATCCGTCAGACCTTCACGCTTCCGGACTCACCGCAGCAAAATGGGATTGCAGAGCGCCGCATTGGCATGGTCATGAACGTCGCTCGTACGTCCATGATGCATGCGGCAGCCCCCCCATTTTCTGTGGCCGTTTGCGGTCAGGTACGCGGCGCCGAAGATCAACCTCCACCCCAGGGTCTCCAGGCCGGAGACCTCCCCAGCCCTACTATGGACGGGGAAGGTTGGCGATGCGTCGGCGTTCCGGGTCTGGGGATATCGGGCGTTTGTCCGCGACTTGGCTGCGGACAAGCTGTCCCCTCGCGCTTCTCCCTGCGTCTTCCTGGGGTTCCCCCCCGACGCCCCTGGGTGGCAGTTCTACCACCCCACCTCTCGCCGTGTTCTGTCCTCCCAGGACGTCACGTTCGACGAGTCGGTGCCCTACTACCGTCTCTTCCCCTACCGCACTCCGTCCCTCCCCCCGCCCCCGCTCTTTCATGTCCCAGGTCCCCCCCCGGTAGACCCCCTCCCCCCTCAGGGTCCTGCCCCTTCAGGTGTGTCCCAGGTAGACGCAGTCGAGCCTGTTGAGGTCACTGGTGACTCTGGTGCTGCGGGTGGTGGTGAGCCTGGGGGTGCTACGTCTGGGGGTGCTGAGCCTGGGGGTGCTGACCCTGGGGGTGCTGAGTCTGGGGGTGCTGGGTCTGGGGGTGCTGAGCCTGGGGGTGCTGAGCCTGGGGGTGCTGAGCCTGGGGGTGCTGAGCCTGGGGGTGCTACGCTTGGAGGTGCCTTGCCTGGGGGTGCTGGGTCTGGGGGTGCTGAGCCTGGAGGCTCTCTCGGTACTTCGTCTCGCCGGGAGCCACTCTCTCCACAGGAGCTGCGCGAGTGGTTTGCCCGGCGCTGGAGCCGTACAGCTGGTGCTGGAGGTTCGTCGGCTACTGAGGGTGCTGTCGTCGCGGGTCCCGGAGGTGCTCGTCCTGGGAGTACTGGAGCTGCTGAACCTGCGAGGGTGTTGGCGCTGAGACTACCACTGGCGGTCCGGCTGGCGGTGCTTCTGGTGCTGCTGGAGGTTCTGTAGCTGCTGGAGGTGCTATTGGAGGTGCTGCTGGCGCGGGTACTCCTGCTGGGGGTACTGGTACAGTCCCTGCTGTTTCTGGCGTCGCCACGCGGCCCCGACCGTACTTCGTTCCACTCCTGCAGCAGTTTCTTGGTCTTACACCTTCTCCTGGTCCTCCTCCTCATCCCTTAGAGGGTCCACAGCCTGTCCAGTCACAGTCACAGCTACAGCCTGCCTCCCCTTTGCCTGCTCCTTCTCCCTACACTGGTCCTACGAGAGGTCTTACTGAGCGTCGTGAGCCTGCGTCTCGTACTGCTCGCGTTAGTGGTCGCGATTCGCGTCAGCGTCCTCCTCCTGTCCCTGGCACGCACCGGATGTCTCTGCGTCCGTCCACTGCTCCTCTGCGTGCCCCTTTGCCTTCTCCTCCTGCGTCCTCTCTTCCTGCTCTCGCCGACCCTGCGTCAGACTCCCTTCGTGCTGCCAGTCCTACTGTCATGCGTCTCCTTGCTACTACCGTCACTGACCCTTCTTTCGAGTCCACTGCTGCGTCTGCCCTTGTCACTGAGCTCGTCGACTTTGCTGCTCGCTGTCGTCTAGACTACGCTGCTAGTCTTGTCACTGAGTCTGAGTCTGCCTGTCCTCCGTCCGTCGGGGGTGAGTGTGCCCTTGGCACGGACGTCTTTGAGGACAGGCAGGAGGAGTTCGAGTGCCTGGCAGCCGCTTCACCTCATCTCGTGTCCGTACTGCTCACCCCTGAGGGAGACCCGGATGCACTTGACATCCCGACTCCGCGCTCTTACGCGGAGGCGATAGAGGGTCCCTACTCCTCTCAGTGGCAGGCAGCTATGGATGCTGAGATGGCTTCCTGGAAGTCCACAGGCACCTACGTTGACGCTGTCCCCCCTCCTGGGGTGAACATCGTCAGTGGCATGTGGATCTTCAGGGTGAAGCGGCCGCCTGGTTCTCCGCCTGTCTTCAAGGCGCGTTACGTGGCTCGTGGTTTCAGTCAGGGGCAGGGAGTTGACTACTTTCAGACCTTCTCCCCGACCCCGAAGATGACCACTCTTCGGGTACTACTGCACGTCCCTGCTCACCGTGACTACGAGCTGCAATCTCTCGACTTCAGCACTGCTTTCTTGCAGGGCAGCCTGCACGAGGAGATCTGGCTGCGGCGCCCTCCTGGCTTCACTGGGTCTTTCC